CAACTGAACAACAGTGGTACAAGTGAATCTATCCTTCTTTGCTTGTGGGAAATGAATGCAGCAGAACATGTAAAGCTACTACTCCATAGATCTGCAAACGTTACGACTAAGTCAATAACCTTGCCCTAAACACTGCTTCTGAAAGTTATATCGGACCCACTTGTTCTTTTCCAAAGTGAAGTTCTTTAACCTTGCTTTGTGGCAGCCATTGTGAAACAAACAATTCATCATCCTTGCTTGGCTGCATCCACGATCAAATTCAGATTAATGTTTAAAACAAAAACAAAGCAAAAATCCAATTAGAGTCATTTAGGGTATAGATTGTTTGGTTTGGGGGCATTTATGCTACCAGGTCAATTAAACAGAGACTCAATAATACAATAATGAAACAATAATGAAACTCTGGCATGGTGAGTAGGAGACAACAAACAACTGAGGGTGATAATGGTCAACCCTGACATACAGCAGACATAAAAAAGCAGGGGCGTGTACATTATTTGCAGTCAGGTCGTGAGCTGCTCATCCGCGTTTTCTGTGTATGATATGCATCAGGAGGAAACCATTAACATTTTTGGACTGGCTTGAAGGCTCCCAGTCCCTCCAGTCTCCATTGCCTGTGACTGCAACAGATGGTCACCCCATCCCTGAGAATCCCCCCCCCCCATCCAAACACACACACACCCACATACACACAGGTGTCAACCTCCCACCCCCCTTTTCCTCCATCGTTAGATAATCTGCCGTCCCACCTCGCATCCCCCTCCTGCTGCTCATCTAAAAAGAACCTCCGCTTTCCCCCTGTTAAATCCACTCTTCCCCTTCCTCTCCTCGCCTCCCATGCTTCCATCACTCAGCACCTGTTAGAATCCCACCGAGAGAAGATAAGGCTCCCCTTCTTTTTTTTTTTTTGTTGGTTTGGGTGATGAGAGGAGTGATGAGGGGGGAGGGGTCAGGTAAGACAAAGAGGGAGAAAGCGTGCAGAGACAGGGGGAATTCTTGACAGCTGTTTCATTCAGAAGCCAATCTCCTCTCTCGGGCCCCGCATCTCAAAAAGACAGGGTGGCTACACTTGCTGCAGGAAAAAAACGACTAGACGGAGATCTTTGGGAAAGTTCAGAGGATTAATTTAACACAAGACAGAGAAGGTGGTTAAAGGCAACAGGAGGAAGAGAAGGGTGGGGGGGAAAAAAGGCTTTCTTTGTTAGAGTAATTGCTCTGAGCCAGTCTTGTGTGCAAACTGGTTAGAGATTATAGGATTTATTCCCATGTAGATTTTCAACAGTCGCTCTGCTTGAGCCATTCTGTTCTTCCCTTGCAGAATGTGCAACTTGGGATGTTGTGTATAAATCCATAAATACATAAATATTGAACAATGACGGGGTGCCGTGTCTTTTATTACTCCAAACGGAGAGGCAAAGCAGCATGGTCATGGATTAAATGTACAAGTGTTGACATAAACAAATGAAATGTCAGTGGCAATCACACAATATCCTGCTTCTATTGTCAGGTTTAAAATTATTTACTGTTTGGGGACTTCATGTAACAGTAAAAGCATGATTGTGAGGGAAATTCTAGGTGGTATAAGGTGGTTATTTTGCTTTTGAAAATTTGAAATGCATGGTGTGATTTCACTGCAATGGACTGGGACTGGCAACCTGTCCAGGGTGTACACCGCCTCTCACCCGTAGACAGCTGGAGATAGGAACCAGCACCCCTCACGACCCCGCTTGGGATAAACGTGACGAAAAATGGATGGATGGTGTAACTTCATGTTCAGCTCCCATCTAGTTATCCTGGATTAAAACCAGGGTAACTAGAGGTCTTCAGGGTCAGCTGAATAGTAAATGCAGCACATATGTTTGAGCTTTAATCTCTGAATAAATCCAGATGTTCTATAAAAGGTTTGTTTGAGGATGTAAGTGAATAAACAAAGTGTCAACAACACAGCAGACAGGTCAGATGATTAAGTTGGGGAGAGGTTCAGAGCAGGGCATGGGTATGAAACAAAATCTGAAGCTTTGAACAACTCAATGAAAATGTAATAAGTGTGGCATCATTGTGGACCTGCCAGGAAATTGCCTTCTCTCTTAACTGACAGGCTTGATCAGAGCAACATTAAAAAGAGAAACACCAAGGGACTCATGGAAGCTCTAGTAGAGATGCAAGAATCAACAACTAAGACTGACGAACCTGTTGTGAGGTTGTATCTAAGTATGAACAAGTCCGCCATTTGTAAAGGTTTTGCTACAATAAATGTTGAGGACACAGCAAAAGGACAAGAGGGGAAATCTGTTAACATTCCTTTTCCTTTGGTGAAGCTATCTTAGAGGCAAACGCTTATCATCCAGTAAGAAAAGAACCCCAAACATGCTTGATTTAGCATCCGATCTGATGGAAAAGAGGATTGTATGAAATCTTGGCAACTGCAAGGCTGGTCAGACCACACACAATTCTCTGCAAATGTGCTTGGGTACTGTAGCTCTGACTAAGGTAGACCCCTCGTCTATGTTGGTTGAACCTAACCAGCAGTTTGGCACCAATGTCATGAGTCTGACAGGAAAAGAGAGAGATGGTGGCGTAGTAAAACCGATCAAAGTCTGTTGGGAACAGTGATGGTTATAGTCTTACGTCTGTTCGGAAGAATGATCTGTGATAACGCTCCCTGGTGCATTTAGGGTGCAGCAGTCTGTCACAGAAGGAGCTCTCCAGTTCTGTAACAGGTTTATGCATGGGGTAGGAGACTTATCCAAGAGAGATGTTATTTTAGTTAGTATCCTTTTGTTTCCCACCTCCTGCATAGAGACCAGAGGGAATCCAATCGCAGAGCTGGCCTTCCTGATTAGCTTATCTAATCGCTTTCTCTCAGCTACAGATAAAGTACTGCTCTAACAGGCATCTCCATATAAGATGCCTGATGCCACAATAGAGTAATAGAAGGTCTTTAGGAGCGCCCCCTGCACTCCAAAAGAGCTCATTTTCCTCAGCATGGAGAATCTGCTCTGATCTTTCTTATACAGAGCCTCAGCGTTATAAGTTCAGTCCAGTTTGTTATTCAGATGAACACCTAGGTACTTATAACAGTCCACTATCTCAACGTCTGTTCCCTGGATGTTCATCGTTGTCAGCGGGTTAACCAGGGTTTTTGACACCAAGTTGACCCACTAACAATCCGCAATTCACTTCTTTCCCATTAACAAAAAAGACGGCTCTAACCCCCTACTGGCAAGCTACATGGCCTATGTTCCCACACCGCTGCATGACTGGTGACACTATCATACTGGGTTAGCATTGATGCTGTCATCAGTGCAACAGAAATCAGGAAAGTAAACAATGGAAAATAGCTTGGAAGGGAGCCAGGGCATAGTAAGTGTGCTTTATTGTTTGGCTCGTTTTTCTGTCCTAATCTCTTTTGCCATGTTTATCAAATGCAAGCAGTTGTTTTGATTGGTTATATCAGACATAGCTGCCGCAGCGTTGCGACATCCATACATTGCAGTAAAGGGTATACCATAAATTAGCGGATCGACCTGGGTCTGATGTTCCTGCTATATGCCGACCAGAGCC